TGAGATGAAAAACTACCAATCAAGCTATCTTTCTGTAACTGACTCTACTTTAATTCCATTGTGGGTAGGGAATAGAAGTTGTATGATTATTCTTTTAAATTATTTCAGTTGTGTTTTATGGCCCAGGACATGGTCTATTTTAATGATGTTTCATGTAAACTTGAAAAGAATCTGCTGTTGTTGGTTGAAATAGAATATAGATGTTAGTTATATCTGGTTGATTGAAGTCCTTACTGGTTTTCTGCCTGATGAATATCTCTATGACTCAGGAGTGATTAGGTCTCCAGCTATAACAATGGATTCATCTATTTCGTCTTGTAGTCATCAGCTTTCACTCACATATTTTGATGTCTCTTAGGCTTGTACACAGTAATATCTGTATATCCTCTTGGAAAATTGGCCTTTTTATCATCATGTAATGCCCTCATTTTATAATTTTCTTTGCTATGGAATCTTCATTGTCTGAAATGAATATAACTTAAGAATTATAAAATTAGCATGGTTTATTTTTCTCTATTCCCTTACTTTTTATTCTATAGGTGATCATATATTTAAAGTGTTTCTTATGGAGAGCAAGTTGGATCTTGTTATTTGAACCAATTTCTGTCATTTAATTGGTGTTGTCTTTTAATTTGTATATTTACATCATTGATGTTTAAAATGATCTTTGATATAGTTGGAATGATATTTACCATACTTGTCACTGTTTTCTATCCATTACCCTTTTTTTGGTTCCGGTTTAACCAATTTTTCTGGCTTTTTCAAATTTTATTTGATTCCATTTTCTCTCCTTGATTAGCATAGCAATTATATGTCCTCTTCTTAATTTTTTAGCAGTTGCTTAAAAGTTTGAAATGTACATTTATAGTAACAAAACAATTTACGTTAATCCAGATCCACTTTTAAATAACACTATACCACTTCATCTGTAGTGCAAGTTTACATAAGGTAAAAATAAAATAATCCTAATTCCTCCCTTCCAACTTTTATGTCATTGCTATCATTCATTTCTCTTATTTATAAGCATATAAAATTGAATACATTATTGCTAATATTATTTTGAATAAGCTCTTGTCTATTAGATCAATAAATATTAAGAAACATGAATGCTTTAGTTTACCTTCACTTGTTCCATCTTTGGTGCCTTTCCTTTATGTAGAGCTGAGTTTCTAACATATTATTTTTATTTTTCTCTGAAGAATTTTTTTAACATTTTTTGCAATGCAGAACTACTGCCAACAAATTCCCTTGATTTTTGTTTGAGAAAGTTTTTTTTTTCTCTTAGTATTTGAAAAAAAATAGTTTCACAGAGTACAGAATTCTTCTTTGTTGGGACAGTTTTTTTGCCTCAATATTTATATTATTTTACTCTAGTCTCCTTTTATTTATATGGTTTCCAAGGAGAAGTTTGCTGTAGTTTTATCTTTGCTGCACTACAATTAAAGTATCTTTTCCTTCAGAATCTTTCTAAAATTTATCTTTTGTTTTCTACAATTTGAATATTGAGTGGCAGCTGTAGGAATTTTATAGCCTTTGTTATGCCTGATGTTCTCTGAGCTTCCAGGATCCATGGTTTGGTTTCTTACATTAATTTTGGGAAATTCTCAGTCATTATCGCTTTAAATGCTTCTGTTCTTTCTCTCTTTTCTTTCTGTATTCTCATGATTCATATTTATACCTTCTGTAGTTGTCCCATAGTTATTGAGTATTCTATTTTTTTGTTTGTTTGGTTTTTTTAGTTTCTCCATTTTGGAAATTTCTACTCACATTTAAGCATAGATATTTTTCCTCAGCTGTGCCTAGCCACTTTCTGAATTCTTTATTATAGTTTCATTGGTTTTGATATTTAGTAATTTTTTTCTTAGAATTTGTATCTCTCTGCTTATATTGCCCATATGTTCTTGTATTTTTATCCATTAGAGCCGTTAGCATATTAATCATAATTATTTTAAATTCCCAATCAGATCATTGTAACATTCCTGCCATATCTAAATCTGGCTCTAATGTTTCCTCTGTTTCATCAAACTGTAACTTAATTCTTTTTTGTCTTTTTTACGCTTTGCAATTTTTGATTACCAGAGAGACATATATACTTTATTTTTAAAAAGTAAATGATCTATAGTGTTAGGCACTGTTCATCTGGCTAGGAATCTCTCTATGTTCACTATTTGCTGTACTGTAGCTATAAAAGGCTGAACTTTCAAAGATATCCTAATTTTTCCCTATTGTCTTTGGACTTCTTAAATATTGTCCATGTCACATGATTCTCATAATTGTAGTCCATATTACTATATAGTAGTAACCCTATTGACAGTGGTGATGGGAATGGGTGAGAAAAGCATTCTATAGTTCTTTAATTAGATCTATCTTTTAGTGAACCTATGCCTTGGATTTTGACCTTCAAAAGTACTTCTCTGTAACCACTGACTCCACCTTAGGAGACACCATAAAACTAGACAGCGCTAGGGTTGAGTATTCTCTTTCCCCAGGTGAAAAGTGTTCTGATAAAATTCCAATGGTTAAACTCTTGGAAAGTATTTTGTTTTTCTTTGGTTGGTTTTGGTGTGATTTTGTTTTCTTTTTTGTGAGGGCAGGCCTTGTTAAAGAGAACAGCTTATTAGATTATTCTTGGAATACTTTTAAATGCTTGCTTTTATAAAATACTTCTAAATGCCTGTTTTTAGCATGAAAGAGTTTTCTTTGATATTTAGTATGAAAACTTGATCAGGATTCCTTGAGGTAGAACTGTTGTGTCCCTTTAAGACTGCGTTATGGTTTAGATATAGTGTCCCCCAAAAGCTCACATGAGAGACAATGTGAGAAGGTTCAGAGAAGAAATGATTGGGTTGTGAGAGCCTTAACCCAATCAGTGATTTAATCCCCTGATAGGGATTAACTGAGTAGTAACTGAAGTGTTAGGGTGTGGCTAGAGGAGGTGGGAATTGGGGAATGGCTTTGGGGTATATATTTGTGTCTGGCAAGTGTAGTCTCTGGTCTCTGATCAACATGTGAGCTGTTTCCTTCTGCCACAACCTTCCACGATGATGTTTTGCCTTACCTGGAGCCCTAAGGAATGGAGCTGGCCTTCTATGGACTAAGATCTCTGAAACTATGAGCCCTCAAATACACTTTCTTTCCTTTAAAATTGTTCTGGTTGGGTCATTTAGTCACAGCAGTGAAAAAGCTGACTAAAACAGACTGTCACCCTGGAGTTTTTAAACAAATTTGTGTACACTGAGTCTCTATAATTACACAATTATAGACTAGGTTTTCCTGCCATGGTGCTGGTTTCCATGGAGTTTTTGCTTTGAGTAAGTTGTGATTCTCTGTATCTGCCTGTCTTTCATTTTAGGAACATTGGTTTGCCCTATGACCACAATTCTCAGATGAATCTAAAAAGAGTTGTTGATTTGCACTTTGGTCAGCCTTTTTCTTGTTGTGTGAACAGTAGAGATTACTTCCAGGTTTCTACATGCCAGACCAGAAACTAAAAATCTTAATGTTTTCAAAGTTCACCTATACTTTATTCTTTTCTACTAATGAAATAGGATTTGTCACATTGTGTTTATCTGTTCACCAGTTGATGGGCATTTGCCTTGTTTCCACATTGGGGCTATCTTTAATAATGTCACTGTGAACCTTCATAAGCAAGTGTTTTTGTGTATATATGTTTTTATTTTTATTGCATGTACACCTATTAATAGAATTGCTAGTTGTACAGGGAATTTATGCTTAATTTTTAAGAAGCAGGCACACTATTTTCCAAAATGGCTATCACATTTTTATGGTCTGACCAGCCCTGTATGAAGGTTGTTATTTATGTATATAATTGATGATATTTGTTATTGTCCCTTTTTATACTACTCAATGTAGTATTGTGAATTATTGATGTTTTTAAACTATAAATAATACATACATGCAGTTAGAAATGCAAACTTACATAAAAAAGTATATAACTAATAATTGAAATCAAAATTTCCTTCACCAAATTCTTTTCCCCAAAATAAATTAGCCTTAGTTGTTCATTGCACAATTTTAAGAGAAAACACACTTACAGCAATATGCTCACTGTGCTGAAAGTAATATATATGTAGATTTATAAACACATATAATTATATTTTAATTTAAAAAACTAAGTATATTAATATAAATATGTATTTAACTATATATTTCTTTGAATAATATTTATATATTATTCAAAGAAATAGTGCATCTTCTCTATATTTTCACTTCTTTTCTTCTTCTCCCTCCTTATTTTTTGACCCCAGTCCCCATTTTCAATTTTTAAAGTATATTAATATATATTGAAATCTCCATATCAACATGTCCAAATCTAATTCATTTTAAGTCCTCTATATTTGAACCTACCATAATCTATTTGACTAAAACTCTACTAAATGGACCCTTTGATCATTTCCAGTTTTTCTCTTATAACAAAAAAAGTTGCAATAACATCATGGTAATTGATATTTTATGACTCAGTCTTGGTTTCCATCAACTTCAAGATAAGTCTTCTGCCCCAAATGGACTTTCCTTTAATTTCTTCCTGACATTAATTTCTCTTTATGCTTTTCTTTTGCAGTTAGCCTTTCATTTAAAACCAATTGATCTTTTGAAGAACTACATGCATATTAAGCTTATATATTTTATGTTAGTAAAAAAATGGAATTTCTATGAATTTTGAGTTGAACTTTTAAAATTACTCTATCAATGATTCTCAAAGTATGATTGAAGAATCTAGTAGCATTGACATCATTTGGGAACTTGTTAAATATACAAATGCTTGGGCCCCATTCCACACTTACTGAATCAGAAGCTCCGGGGCTAAGGTCCAGCAAAATTTATTTTAACAAGACCTCTGAATGCTTCTGACACTAGCTATAGTATACTATTCATATATCCTGTTTTTCAATGATATCAAATATAATTAAAATTATATCAAGTATAATAAAATTAAACAAAACCATGTTTTTCAATTTACACAATATCTTTTTTTTAAGTGTTAAATACTACTACACAGAAATCTGGATCAGATTTGAAAAAAAGAAAGTATTAGTGAGAAAGATCAACAACATGAATAAATTCATGGACACAACAATAAAAATTGGAAGTGGGAAAGCCTTTTGACAATAATACTGACATGAGTGCTTATTGAACAATATGAGAAATACCCTAGCACTGACCTAGCTCCACAGAAGGACTCCTAAGTGCAGCTGGTGAGTTCAAATGTTTCAAATTGCTCCTCTATCCCTTTTACTTTAGTTTTTTAGAAGTTACAAGTATTTTTAAAATCACAGATAATGAAAATGCTAATGTTTAAGCCTGGTGTAGTGGTGCACACCTCTAATCCCAGTGGATTACTTAGGAGATTGAGGAAGGAGGATCACAAGTCCAAGGCCATCTTTGACAACTTAGTGAGACCCTGTTAAAATAATAATAATAATAATAATTATTATTATTATTATTATTATTATTATTATTATTCAAAGGGCTGGGATATAGCTCAGTGGTAAAGTGTCCCTGGGTTCAACCCCCAATACCAAAAAAAAGAAAAGAAAGAAAAGAAAATGCTAATATTTAAACACTGTTATACAACCAATTTAATAAAAATGGAAAAGAAGTAAAAATACATTAACAGTAACCTTTCTAGTATGTGTTAAAGCATATTTTGTGGAAATTGTAATGGCATAAAATACAACTTTTGCCAACCAAATGTTGTGTAACATTAAAATAGTTTTAATCATATTTTTACTGTCCCCTAGAGAGTTTGAGCATTATTGAATGAGATTGTCCTAAATCAAGTCTGGGATATCATTGACATAGATATCTAGACTTGAATGTTTTGTTGTTGTTGTTGTTGTTGTTGTTGTTGTTGTTTTGTTTTGTTTTTGTTTTTGTTTTTTTGCCTTGAGTGTTTTTGTCCCTCCCCCCAGAAAGAATTAGAGCAATGAGCAAGAATACTAATCTAAACATTTTGGAGTTATTTTTTAAAATTTTTTAGTTATATATGGACACAGTACGTTTATTTTATTTATTTGTTTTTATGTGGTGTTGAGGATTGAACCCAGTGCCTCACACCTGCTAGGCAAGTGCTCTACCACTGAGCCACAGCCCCAACCCTGGAGTTATATTTTGTGTCAATACTTAATAAGGAAAATTGGATTTTTTCTAAAACAACATAAAGTGAAATAAAATTTTTGAAATAGTTCCTATACTACATAATTTGTCATCATACATTTAATATAGAATGAAAACGATCCACTTATATGAAAAGAAAAATTTACAAATTAAGCATCAATTCAACTATCAGTATTCTCTGAAACTGTAAAAGATCCCAGAGATAACTTAATGATATTTCTATTAATTCTGGTGAGGATTTAGAGAGAATGTATGCAGAAATTAATTGAACTGAGCTGTGAAAAGGTGGGCTTATACTTCTTTGTAGAATTCTTTTTTCAGAATAAGTTTTAGCTTAGAATAGCAGACTTTCCTCAGGGTTGCTGGTTTCTGAATTATCTAAACTAAACTAAATGAAATCCACCTCAAGTTTGTTCCATGACTACCCAGATAAGAATGCACCTGTGTGTATATAAGCTCTCTTGATATGGGCTAGAGTGACCGAAAATCTAGATTTTCAACTTTACATAAGTTTAATAACAACAATGGCGTGTGGATTTCATGTTGGAGAACACAGTTCAAGAATTATCAATAGCCTTAGCCAGGAGCAATGGCACACACCTGTAATCCCTGTGGCTCTGGAGGCTGAGGCAAAAGGATTCTGAGTTCAAAGCCAGCCTCAGCAACTAAGCAAGGTCCTAAGTAACTCAGTGAAACCCTATTTGTAAATAAAATATTTTTTTAATATTTAAAGAGATGAGGATATGGCTCAGTGGTTAAGTGCCTCTGGATTTAATCCCTGGTACCAAAATGTGTGTGTGTGTGTGTGTTGGTTACATGATTGCAGGAACAACATTCCTACCTGTGATTTAGAAAACAAATTTCAGAATGCTGTGTTCTGGTCTCAGTCATTGAGCACTGGGGTGGTAAATATAGTGGAATTTTCAATAGGGTATGGGCAGTAATTGTAACTTATGGGTCTGAAATTTTAACAGAAATGTTTGAGATGTTGGACCAATGAGTAAAGAGCTTTAATTACTAGAATCCAACATATTGATAGCTTCATGGATAGTTCTTGATCAATGAAGTTTCCTGACACTTTGAAGTCTATTTTACTATTGAAAGAAAAATAATTGATTTTTAAATTCAAGGCCTTCAGATATTCTGAAAAGTGTTATGCATTTTCAAAATGTACTTAGTATAAAATATACTTCAATACTAAGACATACATTTCTGAAAGTTTCAGAAATGCTTGTATGTGTGTATATCAGAAGTTGAAATAAATAAAAATTGCAATTATTTGGTAAATTTTCAGAACTCTACTGTATGGAATAAACTTGAACCACTAAAATCATAGCCTCTCTGTCACTGATGGTAAGAAAGGAGCTCTGTGTTGAAATTCCAGCTTGCTTCTATTCACTGTTTTCCCTGCAGTGCCTTCTACAATGGTGTAAAATCAATTAAATGACTTTTGTGCTCTGAAGTTTTGAAAATGAATGGTTATTTAAGTGTCATTTTATTTGCAAAACTATTTTGTATGATCCTATAATAGAGAATACATTTCTTACACTTTCAGGTAGAATTTAACTTAGGAAAGAAGTTATGTTGTTTTGCTTCTTTATATTAAAACCAGATGTACACTGAAGAGAGCAGAACCAAGGCTTGATTTATGTAACATTTATTAAAACTAGTGAGACTACAAAGCATACTACCAGCTTTGGCTGAACAATAAGATATTATTTATAAGCTCAACTTATTTGTATGAGAATGCTGCTAATAAATACGTAGTTTAACTGATACTAAGATGATATATCAGTTTAACTCATATCTAACTGATGAGAGGGATAGCGTTAAGAAGTAGAGTTTAAAGGGGAAAAAATGACATAGTAATCTAAGATCTTTATGTTGTTTTGTTTTTGTTTTTTGGCCCTAAGATGATGGATTATGATTACCACCACCATCATCATCTTTCTCCTCCTTCTCCTCCTCCTTTTCCTCCTTCTCTTCCTCTTCCTCCTCCTCTTCCTTCTCTCCCTCCTTATCCCTCCTCCTCCTTCTCCCATTTATCATCATCCTTCTCCCGATCCTCCTCCTCTCCCCTTCCTCTCCTCCTCCTAGCCTCCTCCTGGCCTCCTCCTCTTCTTCCTTCTACTTCTTCTCATGTGTCTCTTTTAATATCAAGATTTGTTTTTTTTAATTTGGAGAATTTTTATCAACTTCTAATATTTCCAAATATTATTAGCTAATATTTTGTTTTCCTACCTCCTTGACAGCCTAAATGAATTAATACTATTATATATTGAATTTTATTATTTTAGAATCCAAAAATTACTACACAGTTTCAAAATCTGCTTATATTGATAGGTTATTACTTAACAAAGAAAATATCAATAGGCATTTAAATTTCTACATTTAATTTTGTGCATGTTTTTATAGGAGATCACTATACAAGAGTCATTAAAGATCCTAGAAATGGATTAAAATGGTTTCTTTGTCACGTCTCTAGTGCCTTTCAGTGGAACACAAATTTTAAGGCAAAAAATATATATGCTCTATCAGCATAGTAATTTAGTTTTGAAAAATTTGAGACATACATCTGAGACCTGAGTAAAGGATGAAATTACACTTTATCTACTCTCCTTCTATACATGTCTTTAAGAGTTCAGAGGATGCATTAAATCAAATCATATACAATGCATTTCCCTACTCCACATAGGATTTCCTTCACATGTGAAATATAATCATCCAACCTCTACCCAAGTATCTCTAGTTACAGAGATCTCACATACTTGATTGTAAAAAGTCTCTCACTATCAAAAGTGGTTTCTAACATTGAGTCAAATTCTACAATCAAATAAGTTATACTTACTGATGAAACTAGAATGAAACCAAGAAAAACATTTTAAATGAGATAATAAAAGTAGAGCCCTTGGATAGCAACTGGAGCCAAAAGTATTGCTGCTTCTTATTGTCAGAATTGTTGAAAATGATTTATGAAAATGGTCTCTCATGGCCATGAAGATTAAATAAGATAATGTATTTAATATATTTGAAAGGGGAGTTACTCAGTGGGACCATTAAGGAAAGTTCTACTCAGATTCAAAACAGAATTCAATGTATCCTTTATTATATTATATCAACACTCCTTGCTAAATTAAGAATAACTAATATTAGTAAGTAAATAAAATTAATATTATTAATCAATTGTGGGGAGCCACTCTGAATGATTTGCATCTTCCATCTTGGAGCAGAGAGGCTTTTACCATCCCTGCATCTTGTATTGACTTGAACATTGCCCCAGACGTAGGTGTCGCCCTACAGCCCTTGTGTTGAATTATACCCAAGTGTCTGTTGTAATTCTGCCCCTTCTTACCTTTTTTGGATGGAACGTTTTAAGAATGATTGTCCTCCCAATAAAAGCCCACTTCCAAACGTGTGCCTGCCCTCCCCCTTCCCCCTCCTTCCCTCTCTCTCTCTCCCCTTCTCTAAATATCCCTCTCTCTCCCATTTGGGGAGCTTGAGGACAAGAATGCAGGAGCCGTCCTGAAGCTTGTTTAAAGGTAAAGTGTGTGTTTGTGTTTTATTTGGTGTCCTTGGAAATTCACACAAGCGACTTAAGTTCAGCTGCCCCTGCGGGACCCCTTGGGGTGAATTTTCAGGTTGACTGAGAGAGCGCGCTATAGAAATTTAGTGAACTGTGATTCTTTGGGGAATCACAGAGGAAGCAGACAGTTTCATGGGCAGTTCCACATCTTCAGATAAAAATGTATTTAACAATTCTGGAGACAATAATCAACCGGAGAGGCAAACAAGTCAGAAGAGCCCAGCTAGCTTGTTTCCTAAAAATGGTTAGCAAGGTGTGCCCATGGTTTTGTCAGCAAGATTCATCAGATTTACACATTTGGGAGAGGCTACGTAGAAAATTATTTAAAGTTTGCCTCTCTGCCAAGGTGTCTAAAAGACAACAGAGAGTGTTCAGAAGGTCTGGACCACTTTAGAAATGTGTCTTTTTGATGATCCAGATCAGGACCAATGGTCCCCTGAGGACCTGCTGAAAGGGCTTCAGAGAGCTGTTAGACATTTGGAGCAGGAGAAACAGCCCAAGACTGTTTCCAAGGGGTTCTCTCTTTCTGTGGCTTGACTGAGGACACAGTCAATTTTCACTCAGTCTGCAGCTCGCAGACAAGCAGCCTTGGGGCAAAACCTAAATCAAAAGTCAAACACAGCAGCTTAAAGGAGCAACAAGGGGCATGTTCCAGAGAGGAAACTAGCTCCAGTTGGATTTCATTGGGCAGGTTCAAATTGGAGAGGAACAAGATGGTCAGGAAGATATTTACGAGGGGACTCAGTCAGAAGGTGAGGAATACCTGGAGGAAGGTTTTACTAAATTATATCTAGCTGGCTTCGGCACACGCCATCCGAATTCAGCCACTCTCCTCCAGGAGAATGGGGTTCAATAATTACTCTGAACTGGTGGTCGCCATGCTTACAACCCTACAACATAGTCTTAGAAGAATGCAAGAAGCCAGGGAAGACAGTACAGGTTTTCAGTTTTTTCCAGTCTTTGAGCAGATTAACAAATACAAGCAGCATGCCCGTGTACACATTGCCTTTCCTTTTAAGACTCTTAAGGAGCTCAAAAGCACTTGCAGTCCCTATGGTCCATACTCACCCTTTGTGCAAAGCCTGCTTGATTTGTTATGCCACAAGCCTGTACCCCCAAAAGACTGGATTTCAATGTCAAAGGCTTGCCTTTTGGGGGTTGATTATGTCCTTTGTCAATCTCACTGGACTGATTATTGTTCTGAACAGGCTGAGAGGAATATAAGGCAAGACTTTGATGCCCCTTTGGAGGTGTTAAAAGGAATTGGAGAATTTTCGGACCTAAAAACAATTGAATTATGATCTAGCCATTTATGATCAGATCACTGCATGTGCCAAAAGAACATGGCTTGAGCTATCTTCCCAGGATCAAGTGAAGTTAGATTTTAGCCAGATAAAACAGAGATGAGAAGAAAAATTCTCTGATTTCATAGCGCATGTGTATCAGACAGCTAATAGGTCAGTCGGAGGCTCAAATGCCTCAGAATTCATAGTTAAACAGCTAGCATTTGAAAATGCCAATAAAGTTTGTCAGGACATACTCCTACCCTATTGGAAGAAAGGGACAGTTTCTGAATTTATTCACCTTTTTGTGGATGTTGGGCCTACATAATTACAAGGTTTTACACTCCACACGGCTTTAAAACAGGTACTTCAGCCCCAATCCTGGAGACACCATTCTCGTGGGTGGTGTTTTAATTGTGACAGGACATTTGGCATGGGATTGCAAATCTCTGCGCAATAGGGCAGAAACCTCTCCCGGTTTTTGCCAGCAACATTAGGAGACATAAAGCCACGTAGCCAGGGGGAATGAGAACAGATATGGCAGCAGCCCACCTCTATTTTCAACCTCACTTCTGCTTTCTTTAGGGCCAAAAAAATGAAAGACTGGGCATACCCCAGGCTGGACAAACAATGGGGGCTCTACAGTATACATGGGAGGAGGATTCAGAGTAGCAGGCTTTGATGTCATCACAGCCAATCACAGCCAATCACAGCCAACCACAGCGAATCATCATTACCAGCCAGCTCCACCCAGACAGTGTTTTTATGACCAGCCATGGTAATAGATGAAATGGACTATAGTGAGTTCCTACTGGAATTCCTGGACCATTACCCCCAGATACCGTAGGCCTAATTTTGGGATGAAATAATTTTAAAGAGGGAACTCAAGTAATGCCAGGAGTTAATTGATTCATATTTTAGAGATGAGCTAACAGTCACTGAGAAATCAGAGCATGCCATTCGGCTCTCTACAAAAGACATGCTGGCACAATTAGTACTTTTACCTTACTGTTCCTTGGACAGCCCACTAAAGACCTCAACTTTGGGGTTCTTGGAAAGAGTGTACTGGGCTCAATCTGGTAGGAGGGTCCCCTACTGGAACTTAAAATTTATCAAAAAATTTTGAGGTATTGTAAACACTGGTACAGATAAATCTGTTTTATCTCACAGATTTTGGCCCAAAAGCTGGCCTTTACATATTGCACTTGTCAATTTAGAAGGTATAAGGCTGATCTCTCAACCTGCCCAGAGTGCCCAGTATCTTCACTGGGAAGATCAAGATGGTAATACTGGAATTTTCAAGCCTTATGTTTTGGACACAGTTACTGGTAAGTTTATGGGGTAGAGATATTTTAAGTAGCTTAGGATTATTATTAGTAACTCCAAATTCTATCATGTAATTTAAGGGACTTAATCAAGGATTTACTTCTAGGGAAATTGAGGAAAACTTACAGGCGAGTAGCTACCTAAGACCAATCTCTTCGACACAGATTAATTAATGCACCCAACCAAAATTTTTGGTGGGGGTCCTGACCTTTCCCTGACCCCCAAAACATCATCATCATCATCATCATCATCATCATCATCATCATAATAATAATAATCAGTTGGCTCACAGAAGAGCCAATCTGGGTTAGTCAGTGGCCCCTAACAGGGGAAAAACTTAAAATATCCCGCATGTTAGTTGAACAACTTCAAGCTGGTCATTTAGAGCCTATGGTCAGCCATTGGAACCCACCCATCTTTGTAATTAAGAAAAAAAATTGATAATTGGAGATTATTACAAGACCTTAGAGCTATTAATTAGGTCATAGAGCCCATGGGAGCATTACAATCTGGGCTTCCTTCTGCTACAGCTATTCCTTTAGATTATTATTTGATAGTAATAGATCTAAAAGATTGTTTTTTTCTCTATACCTTTGCACCCAGATGACCATTAAAAAAATTGCCTTTACTGTCCCAGCAATTAATTTTAAAGAACCAGTTAAAAGATATTGCTGTAAAGTGTTGCCTCAGGGAATGCATAACAGTCCTACCCTATGTCTATCACACCTGTGAGGGAAAAATTCCATGATGCATATATTATTCATTTGATGGATGACATACTTTTAGCTCATGCTAATTCAGATATACTCTTAAAATTTTTTGCCCAATTAGAGACTTCACTCACAGTAATGAGTTTGTGCATTGCACCTCAAAAGGTGCAGAAGACACCTCCTTTTCAATATCTATGTCATGTGATTGAAGGACATACCATCTGTCCTCAATACTTACAAATAAGAGTCAATGATTTTTTAAAATTATTAGGAGTTATTAATTGACTTAGGCCATCCTTAAAGCTAATACTTCAGATCTAAGTCCTTTATTCCAGATATTACAGGGAGATCCTTCTCCAACTTCTTCTCGTCAGCTCACAGCTGAAGTGAAAACAGCTTTGAGGAAAGTTGAAATTGCTATTAAAAATGCTTAGCTTACTAAAATTAATCCACAAGAGCCTATATATTTATTGATATTTCCAACTTCTTATGCTCCTACAAGGGTGATATGGTAAACACTGGGAGTTATTAGGTGGATTCATTTAGCCAACTCTCCTCAAAAGTCATAATTTTGTTGCTCAATTAGTGATAAAGGGGAGAACAAGAGTTTTACAGATAGTTGAATCAGAACCTAATGTTATAATCATTCCATTTTCTACTCAACACAATGTTTGGCTCTTTCAAACTTCTAATTTTTGGCAAGTAGCTTTTGCTAATTTTCCTGGTCAGATAGAAAGCCATTATCCTTGTGATAAAATTATTCAGTTTGCATTGGTAACGCCATTCATATTTCCAAGGATTGTACAAGCACAGCCAATAAATGGTGCACTGACAGTATTCACTGATGGCTCAAGCTCAGGTAAAGCAGGTTTTTATAGTCATGCTCATACAGAGGTAATACAAACCTCATACGCTTCTGCCCAAAAAGCAGAACTATAAGCTCTCATTTGTGCTTTAAGTCATTTTGCAAATGATCCCATCAGTATTTATTTTGACAGTTTATATGCATCTGGAGTCACAAAAATATTGAAACTTCAGTTATTGGCTATACATCATCACAAGAGTTATTCAGTTTGTTTAATGCCCAGCAAAGGACAGTGCAAATACAAAAGCACTCATGTTTTATAGGCCACATACAGTGGACCCACACTAATCTTCCAGGGCCTCTAATATCAGGTAATGATAAGATCCATAAATTGGTTGATGATTGTCAACAATCAGCATGTATGACTGTGCACAAGCCTCACATTCTTTGCATTATCAAAATGCCTCTAGCTTACATAAAAAAATTTAATATTACTAGAGAACAAGTTCATCAAATTGTACGTCACTGCCCCCATTGTTATACACACTCCATCTTTACCATCTGGAGTAAATCCCCATGGATTAAAACCAAATAAATTATGGCAAATAGATATAGCTCACATTCCTCAATTTGGTAAACAATGTTATGTACACGTAATTGTAGATACTTATTCTAGATTTATCTTTGGTACAGCCTGTACAAAAGAAAATACTCAACATGTTATTTCTCATTCATTGTTTAGCTGCCTTTGCAGTTGTAGGATGTCCTTTACAGATTAAAACTGGTAATGCACCAGTTTATGTAAGCTCTTCTTTTCAAAACGGAAGATTGCATCTTCCGTTTTGGAGCAGAGAAGCTTTGACCATGACTACATCTCATAGTGACTTGGATATTGCCCTGGTCCCGGAAGTTTGAGGACTTGTCTTCAGATGTAGATTAACAACTTTGCCAAAAATTTCATATTGACCATAAAACAGGTATTTCTTATAACCCTCAAGGTCAAGCCATTGTAGAATGAGCTCTATCTCTATCTATTAAGCTACAATACAAAAACTAAAAGGGGGAGATAAGACTAGGACTCCCCAAAATAACATCAATCATGCTCTGTTTATTTTAAATTTTTTAAATTGTGACTCAGAATGTCACATTGCAGCCAAGCAACACGTCTTCCACAGCAACAGGCTTTTTAGGCCAAGTTTTGTAAAAGGACTTATAGACTGGTCATTAGAAAGGACAAGATTCACTGGTTATGTGGGGCAGAGGTCATGCTTGTATTGTCTCAGAAGGTGCTCTTCATCCTATTTGGATACCTGAATGCACCATCAGGCATCGAGGACATAGAACCAAGATTCAAATGACTGAAGATCAACCAGAGAAGCCTTTCCTCAAAAAGAAGAAATCTCGAAGGAAGAGAAGAAAAATGATGGCCCCAAGAAACTGAATGAGGAAGCTTCAGGTCAGGGAAGGACCTGAAGAAATTGACACTGTAGGCTGCACAAATGATTCAACAGCAAAACGATGATGCTTGTTACAATATTAGCTCTATTGAGCTGTCAGGTAAAAGGGAATCAGGAAGAAATTTATTGGGCATATTTTCCACCCAACAGTGTGGACTGGAGAATCCATCCCAGTATTTACTATGTTACTCCCAACCATGTGACTGAATTTAATTATTCTGGCTATAGTGCCAAATTACCTTTGTGGTGGCCCCTTGATAAACATGCTGGCTGTATAAAAGTGTCATTTGAAGAAAAGACAGCAATTGGGAGACCTAGACCAACTAATTATACTGCTACTGGAGACTCAAAACCTTGTATCAGTTATTAAAATGGGACTTTTCATAACAAACCAGTTATCTCAGAATACTTCCAAGGCTCAAAAAATATTGACAGAAGGATTGGGACTAAGCTAAATGCCTTAGAGGCTACTGTCATAAATATTAGTAATGAACTTTCAGCTTTGAAATCCAAGGAAAGACTTAAATGTCACACTAGCTATAAGTATGTGTGTGTTACTGCTGCCAAATACAACGTTTCCCAATGAGATTGGGAGAAGGTTAAAAACCATTTATTGGGTATTTGGCAAAATAATAATAACACCTTGGATCTTTTGGAGCTCCATCATCATATTTAAGATATACAAAAAAGTAAGATTGATTTTTTGGATTCTACTTCTTTAGCTAATCAAATACTTAATTGAATGGCTTTAATCCTGGAAACATTCTTAAACATTCTGCATGGTATATCCTTGTATTGTTCTCTTTGCTACTAAATTCTCTCTTGTATTGTAATTGTAGGATGGCAAGCTTTCAAACAAGGATTCAGGGACTTGAAATAGTGACCTATCACCTTCTTTTTCAAAGAAAGAAGGGAGAATATGATTGCATCTTCCGTTTTCGAGCAGAGAAGCTTTGACCATTACTACATCTCATAGTGACTTGGATATTGCCCCGGTCCCGGAAGTTTGAGGACTTGTCTTCAGATGTAGATGTTGCCCTACAGTCCTTAGGTCAAATTACACTCACATGTCTCTTGTAACTCTGCCCCTTCTTACCTTTTTTGGATGGTCCTCCCAATAAAAGCCTACTTCTGAATGTTCTCTCTCTCTCTCTCTCTCTCTCTC